AACAAAGAATGTTCCAGACACTGATGATGCTTGTCAGGTGTGTAGACACATCTTTGACCACTACTGCTTGCTTGACACCCTCTAGTCCAAAGAGGGGTCTGTTCTGTTTATTCTTCCATGTCCTGTTTCACTGTTACAGAAAATTAACTATCAGGTGGCCAGATGCTTAGATTATCTGAGCATCACTCTTCTGAGACTCTCCCCATGGAAGGTTAGCATAAAAAGAAACTGTGAGACCTACATACGTGTGACACTGGTTGGGAGACACAGTTGCATCACATATGAAGTCCGTGTACCTAAGTTCTTGAAGATCTATAGCCAAACACATAAAGTCTCTCTTATGAAACTGGAATGCTTCCTCCCTATTGACAGGAGATAATTCACTCTGCCTCTGGCAGCCAGAAAGCTCAGGGCTAAGCAGACAAAACCATCCCCTGCAGCTATGCTGTTCAGGATTTGTTTCCAAAGTCTCCCCTAGTCACGCTGGCTGCGCGTCACTATCATTTGTAGTAGCTTGTCAAAAGCTACCTATAGTTTTTTTTTTTTTTCCTGTTAGGAATGATATAAATAAGTCTAAAGAATGCATCTTTGATTCAGAGGGCCTCCTGTCTTTCGGAGGCAGAGCAGGGCCATCACTTCACCTTCTCCATAGAAAACTTATCATGACTGAAGTCCCCTCTGTGCTGCCATTTGCTGTAGGTCCCTGATGTGTGCAGAGGATTATTGACAAGTCAGTAACTCTCATCAGTTGCTGAGGTTTCCTGTACCTTTTTCTCTTGTTCTTCTACCCCACCCCAGGCATTTTTAATGAACAGCCCCCTCAGCTTTCTTCTGAACGAAACATAAACTTGAAGGTGATGTTTTCTATTTCCTGTATGCTTGTTAGCTTTTGAGTTCCCAGTTTATGGACTGAAATATGTTTATTTTTGTTGTAGACACACACACACACACCATAATATATAGCATGGTAAACATTTTTAAGCAAACAGTTCAGAGGTTTTAACTGCATCCATAGTTACACAGCCATCACCACTATCGTTTTTTATTCCCTAAACCCTGCACACACCAAAAAGTAACTGCCCAGTATATCCTTCCCAGGTTCTATGCTGTTCTGTCTTTATGCATTTGCTTCTTCTAAACATCTTCCAAAAATAGAATCCTTGTCCCTGGCTTATGTTACTCGATATGATGGTTTTAAGGTTCATTCACATTCTAGTCCCGGAATTATCATGCAAACCCTCTGTTTTCTCAGAGCACTTTCACAATTACTATTCCCCTGTTCATCTGGCCTCTATTGACTCTTCTGGTTGTAACTAGGAAATCCATGTGCAGGCTTGTGGTTGTCTGCCCAGGGAGCCCTATTCTGGTTGCAATAGTTGGTGCCATGGCCCTGACCATAAAAAGTTTCTGTCCTGGTTCCTGCTCTCTTGCCAACCCCATGTTGCTTGGTTGAGTGAGCAAAAGTCCTCAATCCTACATTGCTCCTGTGAGAGAGGCTTCTTGTCTACCTCACTGATGAGACAGAAGGTGTGAGTGACCTGAATGTCACACACCTTACTAAGCCGTGAGGGGTGCTGACTTTGTTCTGTTTTATTGTGAATGTCATGTCACTGAGGGACTTTCTGCCCCGTCCAGAACACATGCCTTGTGTCATGTGTCATGTCACACAGTTGCTGTCTTTTCATGCAGACTTCAGCCTCTGGTACTGAAGGTCCAGTTTGTGGCTAGCTCTTGATTGTGGCAAATGAAGAAGTTTGTAATTATTATATGTGGATATATGTGGATATTTGATATCTGCCCTGTCTGGAGCAGCACTGATAAATGAGTGATGCTTGGTGATGGTGCCTCACCCGCAACATACCACATCTGTTTTCGCTAGCCTGGCCACCTTCTCTTCCCTTTATCTTCAAATGGAGCATAATGGCAGAGTTCAGTGGCATATCAGTAGATAATTAGTGGAATGTGTATGAATAACAGACAGGGGGCCCTCATCATATTTGCCTTCCTAAATTCAAAATGAAAACTTTGTAGCTCTCCTTTCAGAACTGAGGAACACAGACTCTTTTGAATATATTTATTTGTTTTGTTTTGTTTTTTTTTTTTACTTGAATATGGGGTCTCGTGCACTGTAGACTGCCTCAAACACACAACATCTCTACCTCCCCAGGGCTGGGCTCTCCAGTATACACCAGTATATCAGGCTCTATATGTTCACTTAAATGTCCCTCTCCCACCATTCCTCTGACTGTCCTGTATGACACTGTACTCTTTAGGAGAACATTTCCAGGCTGGTGGCTGGTCCCTGAGGGAAGGACTTTAGTGTGGTCATCATGCATTTGTGAGCCTATCAGAAATGAGGGCAGTCTTTTGTTCTTCTAGGAGCTGTGTTTCTATGTCCAGTGCTCAGCCACTGTCTGACAACAGAAAGAGAAATCCTGCCAGAACTCCTGTCCCTGCTCTTCCTTCTGTTTCCCAAAGCCAGGTCACCTTGTAGCTGTACACTTGAGAATTGTGTAGCAGACACATCCAGCATGACTCACACACCACCAGGTGGTCCTGTGTGAGTAAAGGGTAAAGTGGCTGAATATAATCCCCAATTTTCTCAGTCCTGCTTGAGAAAGAAGCGCATACATATCTAGGAATGTGTGCTCACCCAGTTCTGGTTACCAGGGAACCTGCACCTGAGTGTTAATGGTCATTCAGAGATGGGATTGTGTGGTGATAGAATCAGCTTCTCCATACTTGGACCCCTTCACCTTAATTGGGTGCTAAGGCCCTGTCCTTTCTGTCCAGGTGAACCGCTGTGATGTTGTCTCCCTTCCCCCTTCCCCTCCCCACAGTATCTCCTGTGCATAATGAAGAAAAGCCTAAGGCCTACTCAAAGTATCCTCTTGCTGACAGTCTTGTTTCTCTGTGTTGCGGACTCCACTGTGAATTGCTGATTTTTACTCTTTTAAAATTGTTTTTGAATGCCTACCCTGTTCTGTTTTGAGATGCAGTGATGAGGAAGATCAAAGTCCTTTCCTTCATAGAAGCGTGTGTTTTTAGAAGGGAAAGATAAGGAACACACATGTCCCATCAGATAGTGATGTTTGTTGCAAACACAACAGGGCAATGGCATGGGGACTGGGAAGAGGTGGGAGATGGAATCCCTGTGCTCTAGAGGGCAGTATCTTGGTGGGGAAGCTTTGTGGTAAATGGAAAGGAGCAAGGTAGAAGTACATCTGGGAGAGCTCAGAATTTGGCATCTAGTAATAGAGAGAAGCCCTATAGTAGGAAAGAGCAAAGGGAATCCAGAGAGGAGGAGGTGACAACAGAGTAGCAGAGTAGTGATTCTACCAGCCTGCACATTAGAACCATTTGAGGAATTGAAAACATTTCCAGTATCTAGGTCCCACCCCCAGAGATTGTGATTTAATTGGTCCTGGGTGGGACCCTGGCATTGGCATTTTATAAATGCTCCCCAAGGAATTCCATGGTACAGCCTGGGCTGAGGACATGAGTCTCCCATATGTAGAGTTGTTACTGATTGTAGTAAGGAGTGTGATCTTAGTTTAGTGGCAAGGGGTAGGGCAAGCCATTGGCTGGGTTGGCCTAGGAAGTTACCATAGTCTGCCTTTAAGAGAGTCAATTGAACTACAGTGTGGGGAGAGGAGTTATTAGGACAACGAACTTGAGAAGTGATGGTGCTTTGGGCACAGTGTGTCAGCAGAGTAGGAAATGGTGCTCATTTGGAGAATAGGTGGAGGTTGGAGTTACAAGATGGATTGGATTTAGGATGTGACAAAAAGGGACATGAAGGTTGCCTCAGAGTTAACCTGAGTAACTGGATAGTTGGTGGGTTCCATTCACAGAGGTGGGAGAGAAGGAAAGAAGCAGTTTTGAGAAGATAGAATCATTGTATGCATTGGTTAGAGTAAAAGCCTCCTGCTGGGTCGCTTTCTAGGTTTGGGAAACTAATAGACATGGACAGCCATATAAAGTTGGTTAAGCGGTCCTGAGATATCTACTTCCCATAATGCTGAGCAGTTTCATGAAGTGATCCAAAGTTAGCACCAAAAGCAGTTGTCTTGATAGTACACTGACTAATACAGACATATGACCAGAAGGGAAACTGGGAAGATACCAGCTTTTTGCATGCAGGACACAGGCTATCCAGGCTTGCTTGGGGGAGATTATAGCATCCTCCACACAGAACTTGCTACAATAATTGAAGGATATGGTAATATACAGGATCCAGAACAACAGGGAGAAGAATGGTTGCTGAATTTTAAAGGGATTTTTGTTCACAAAAGAGCAATTTTATGACATGTATCTAACTCAAACCTAACTTTCTTTCTCTGACCAGACTCTGGAATCCAGGAGTTTAATGGTAACCCAGATGGTTAACATAAAATTACTATAATTGTTTACATTTATATGGAGAACTATGGAATTGTTAGAAGCTGGTTATTCCCCCAATGGAGGACATGGATTACAGGTGGAGCATTATCAGTTGATGAAGGTGGATAGGAGTAGGGGAAGACTTAAAGCTTACTAAAGGCAGGAATAGTTTCTTACAGTTTCTGTTTCTTAATATCAATCAGCGATGCTCATTCTGAGTTGTTTTTTTTTTTTGTTATTGTTGTTCAATGAAGTTATGAGATCTTTATTGAACTTCTAGAATCAGTGTTTGTTTGAATGGCTGAGCAAGAGGGTTTGACTAGAGTTTGAAGTCTCTTCTAGGGCACTTTGCTCTTACTAGCAAAACTCAATGTGATTACCCTTGATTAAAAGGCAAGAGAATTCGGGGTGGTGCAGGTATTTAGAAAATGGCCAAAGTCTAAAATTCCTTAGGGGTTTGTATTGGATGCCAGCCTCAGGTATCAGCCAGTGGGATGGGGCTGGATGATGTTGACTTTGGGAATACCATTGTTCTCCCATTGCTCCCAAGTGAATGAAACCAAGAGTGTTCATTGCTCATCTGCCTGTTAATGGATTTTGTCCTCATCCCCTCTCAGATAACTGCAGTGACCTGAACTCAGAACTGCAGAGGGTACTGACAGGGCTGGAGAGTGTCGTCTGCGGCAGGAAGAAGAGCAGCTGTAACCTCTCTGTAGCCGAGGTGGACAGGCACATCGAGCAGCTCACCACGGCCAGCGAACACTGTGACTTGGCCATCAAGGTGGGCCTCCCTACCCTCTGCTTGGCTTTTTGAGGTTACGGGAGGGAAGGGGCAGACTCCTTCCTTGACATTAGATTTCTTGAATACCTTTTAGCCATTGAAACCCATATAAACATATTGAGCCATCAACTAAAGCAGGAGCCCTATAAATATTTGCTGGGCTAAATTACTTTGGGGGGGTGGCATATCAACAATGATGAGCATTGGCTTTGCACTAAAAAGGATGGTTTACTTGGAAACCATTGCATTAGTAGCATCAAACTATGTCATTCATTTTGGTGTAGTCTACCATAGTATTTTTTTTTTTTTCTTTTCAAGACAGGGCCTCATTATGTAGCTCTAGGTGGCCTGGAACTGTAGAACCATAGTGACTTAAATTCATAGAAATCTACCTGCCTTTGCCTCTCAAGTGCTGGCTTAGAGGTATGTGGCACATTGAAGACCAGGGTGTGCCCAATCATTTCCTTTCTTTGACTTCACCAGTGAGGTCAGCTCCTCTACTTACTTCCACCACAACACATTGACTCACCACGTGCTGTCAGAAAAGGGAGAGATAAGGGTCTGGCTGAGTCACCTCGTGCCCAGCCTGTATATCTGGGTCTTGACCATACCTTTCCTATATTTTCTTCTTACTTCTGAGAAAAGACTGAATGAGAGGAATTTAAAATATGTACATAGCCTCACCTCTTTCCAAATAATGGGAAATAAAATAATAATAATAATAATAATAATAATAATAATAATAATAATGATTTCCCAAAAGTGTGGTAGTGCCTGCAGATGAATCACAAAGAGCATTTCCAGTACAGCTGCCTTTCTTTCCATTTTTCTTCATCTCGGTTGCAGATGGATAGGTGGTATAGGGTTTAGCATTTGGAGAAGCAGTCACTCCAGTTTCTCTGGACTCTCCCAAGAGTCTGGTTTGATTGCATAGCTGACTTGGGGGCTAGCTCTGGCCTCAGCACGGGGATGGGCAAGGATTTCTGGTAAATAGCTATAAAGAAAGCAGAGCCAGATAGACTGTCTTGGAATTGAAAGGAAGGACAAAGCACCACATGGGGACAGAGGTGACAAGATTTGGATACCTGTCTTCCTCAAGGAACTGGTATGAATGACCCGCTACTTTGTCTTTAGTGTTGGGAACCTTCTGTTTCTCATCACTGTATGAACTCTCTGCTCAGCAATTCCCTTCCATTTAAAAACCAGCTAGGCCATGCTCCTGCTAAAGGACAAAATGGATGAATAGTTCTCAGAGCAAGCAGAGAACGGTCTTCTTAAATGTGCCTGTCCTCCTGATCCTTTAACTGTGTGTTTAAAATGAAAATTTTAAAAGAATTTTCCAAACACTATTAAGATTTTCTTCTACTTGGTTCAAGTCCATCTCATTAGCTAAATGGCTCCCTGCTGCCCGAGGAGCCTCCATTAATGGTCCACTCTTTTCTGTGTCACCAAAGCAGTATTTTTGTCTTTGCCACCTTGGGACTGAAGCTCATTCATACCATCTGAATTCTCATGTGACATCGGGAGTGGGAAATGGTGATGTGACCTGCCTTATTGCTGAGCTGGCTCATGGGAGGCCTGTAATTTAGGAAACTTACAATTAGACTTTGTGCGCATCCTGCAACCTTGTGTTAGTCACAGCCTTATCAGGATCACTCCCTGGCCTGCTGCCTTGATGCAAATTGACCATCTCTGGAGATCCTAAAGGAAATAAACATTGTGTGGGTACCACACACAGACTCAGCACCAAGAAGGGACCCTGTTGCCCTTAACTCTGGGGACTGCTGAGTAGCACAGACTATGATGCAGGCAAGTGATACAGCCTCATCTGAATCTGAGGAGAGAATGACCCAGAGGTGTCACTATGTACATGGGGCTCTCCACCCCACTCCTGAGCTCACAAGCTCTTCCTATCCCCTTTCTCCAAGGAACCTAGCATGGCTTTGATGTATGACTGTGTTTTTTCAGACAGTTGAGGAGATTGAGGGAGTTCTTGGTCGGGACCTTTATCCCAACTTGGCTGAGGAGCGGTCCCGTTGGGAAAAAGAGCTGGCTGGACTTCGGGAAGAGAATGAAAGCCTGACGGCCATGCTATGTAGCAAAGAAGAGGAGCTGAACCGGACCAAGGCCACTATGAACGCCATCCGCGAGGAGCGGGACAGGCTCCGGAGAAGGGTGAGCATGCAGCCAGGCCTGGCTTAGGTAGGGGTGGGCAGGCAGAGCCAAGGCATCTGAGGGAGAGATTCTAGAGCCTAAATCTTAGGAATTGCCAGGTTCTTGCCTTTCTGAAGTCATTCATGAAAGTGGTTTGAGATCCTTAGGGTAGAGCTAAGATTATAAAAGCAGTCTTCCCAGCAACCCTAAATCTGCATAGAGGCTAAAATTATGTCAGGGCAGCAAGTCTCAATCTACTCTGTTGGGATGTGTTTCTTCCAATAACTCAATTAAAATATTCTGTTAAGACAGTCTAATGATAACTTTCATGATTGGAAAACATAGACAATATCCTCTTATTATTTCCACATCTTTCTTTAACTCTGTGGTAGCTCCTTTCATTGATATTGAATAAGAAATCTCTTCTGTAGACTATTATAACTGTATGTGTGTATGGGTGTCTGTGTGCTTGCATATATGTGTGCATACATATGCATTTGTGTAGTGTGCACAAATTTGTGTTTGTACAGGTGTATATGAGAGAGTGACAGAGATGTTATGGTATCCCCATGGGGACCCGCCCTGGTTAGAGAACTACAGTGACAGGACATGTTTCTGTCACTGAAGATGCTGGTGTTCCAACAGTGAAGCATTTGCACTGACTTTTCCAAAGACACATGCCCACCTGCCAGAGTCTGTAGGTTCTTCTTTGTCTGGCTATGGCTTTGAACTGTGATTGGTTTAAGGGTGGAAGGTTTAATTCTTCTATTAGAGACAATCCTTTCTAAACCTCACTTTGAATTATGAGGCTCCCTTTGCTTTCAGTCTCAACCAAGGCAGTATGGGAGGTTTCTCCCCAGCCATTCACTGTCTGGTGATTCAGCACATGGGGTTGAATAAGAGGCCTCTAGGAGGCTCATGTACCATTAACATTGTTGTCGCCTTAGCCTGGGAAGTAACTTGTTCTTCAATAAGGTTAACGTGTAAATCATTCTGGTTTTTGTTGTTGTTGTTGTTGTTTTGTTTTGTTTTTGTTTTGTTTTTCTGAGACAGGGTTTCTTTGTGTAAAAACCCTGGCTGTCCTGGAACTCGCTTTGTAGACCAGACTGGTCTTGAACTCAATGAGATCCATTTGCCTCTGCTTACCAAGTGAAGGTGTGTGCCACCTCTGCCCAATGTCATTCTGTTCTTTAAAGATCTGTTTTTGTTATTTTAATTATGTGTTTGTGTCTTTATGTGATTATTTGTACTTGAAAAGATACAGATGCCTGTAGCATTGGCCAGAAGGTGTTAGATCCCCTGGATCTGGAATTACAGGTGGTTGTGAGCTTCCCAATAGTCCTCTGAAAAACAGTAAGCCAATATTAACTGCTGAGCTATCTCTCTAGCCCCAGTCATTCTGTTTGTACTCTGTCTGCAAATATTCTTAATTTTCATTGGGTGTAGATATGAGCAAATTACCAGTTTTGAAGGTTGTCAACTCTGTCACTCATTGTAGGTGATATCATAATTAAGAAGCCACTCTCCTGCCTCTATCTGGACAGCATCTTTCTGAATTCACATAAGTGTGTTTCCAGAACCCAGCTATATCTGATTCTCCCTTCCTGCATGGAGGCTGTAAATCTCCCAGTCAGCAAAGGCTGGGTCTGGCGATCCTGATGAAGTTGACTTAGCATGGAGGCCTATACAACCTGTAATTTCCTGGGTCACACTTCCCATCTCTATAACTGATAGTCTAATTAGGTGTGTGCTTATGCTTACAGTGTGCACGCTGATGGCTTATGTTTTGCAAGGGAAATTTTGGCCTTCAAAGTAATAATTCATTTAAAATAAATCTTTTTCTCTAACATGGGTTAGTGAAGCACAGAGAGCCCTTGGTTGTAACTCACAAGAAAAAAGTCAGTTTCTCTGCCAGCCAGTTTTTTTTTTTTTTTTTCTCTAGAGGCCAGCACTAAGAGCAGGGTTATCTGGAGAGACATCATATACCAGAGCCCCAGAACCAGGCTGCCTGGACTCACAGCCTGACCTGCAAAGGTGCTGTGAGTCTTTGGCAAAATACCTGACCTCTCTGGGCCTGTTTGCTTCATTATGAAGATGATGATGATAACACCTGGTGTGGGATGATTAAATAATACTCACAAAATAGTTACACTGTGCCCAGCATGCAGTAAATGTTAGAAAAGGAGTGGTAGTTGTTTTGGATAAAATCAATATTTGAGTAATATGGAATATTTCCCTTTATGTATTCTTTTTATCCGTAAGAATCCTTAGGTGTTTACACATCTCTAACCTAGACAATGAACAATTAAATATAAATAAATGCATATGTGAGTAGACACTCACACAGCCAAAATATGTATCTTTTTTACCTATCTATTTGTGCTGTTATACTTTATATAAATGTATATAATGTGCACCTCATTTATCTCCAAATAACAAAATTTAAAGGAATGTGCATTATTTTGTCAAATGTCCTCCGGAATTTGTATATTTACCCAAGAGCTGGGTTGACTTCTTTTCACTTCTAGACAATTGTGAATCTTACAGAATTTTCTAGATGCTTTTAAATGCCAGTTACTTTTTAGACTTTAAATACTTAATGACTTCCACCCCACATTACCCAGCACATGTCATTTCCCCAAAGAGGGATCTGTCTCTTGTGGCCTAATGTTAACCTGACCTGCAGCCTTTGAGAGTGAATAAGGTTCAATTTCATTTTGGTCTCTGTGAGTCTGCATAACGTATGTCTGTTTTGCCTTTCTGTCTCTGTTGCAGCTCTGTGCTCACAGTTCATCAATGTTGCCCGAAAAGCAATTGGGGCTGCATGTTTTCCCTTTGCCCATCTTCATTGCTTAGATTTGACTAGATCAATAAAATTGGTGCTTGTGCCCTGCCTGCAATTAAACCAAGTGCTCTCCATAGGTCTTCTGAGCCTTGTTCAAGATTTAATTAAATTAGATCTTTAATGCAGGCAGTTAACAAATTGGGCTACTTGGCAGAGCAGTAACTAAGGGACAGCAGGCAAATATTATTATTGGTCTCTGTTCATTATCAAATGAGGTAATCATTTGTTTCTGAGTGTCCTGTAACGTAACCACATATTTCCTCATACTTACAAAAGCAGATTCAAACTCAGCAAAGTAGGATTAGTGACTGAAGAAAAACATTTTGTTCTTTCATTCATTTGTACTCTTCACAAATGATTAGTCTTCTTGGCCAGGTAGGGGGTCACAAAAATAAACTGGATACAGTCCTTGGCTTCAGGGATATTGGAGTGCTGTTGTAGTGTTATAGGTTGGTGGGTAAGGACTTGTGCTGGCAAGGTACAGTTTCTCCATACTGTTTGCACTCTTGACCTAAATTGCTTAGGTCAGCTGCTATGAAGCCAAAATGCACAACTCTTTTCCCAGTCTGTTTGGATCTATCCCTGGAGCATGAGCTAGCTTGTGGGAGGCCATTCCCTGTGGTGGGGTGCCATGCTCAGCCTTAATGCAGGGGAGAGGGGCCTGGTCCTGTCTCAACTGAATGTGCCAGGCTTTGTTGATGCCCCATGGGAGCCCTTACCCTTTGGGAGGAATGGATGGGCAGTGGGCTGGGAGGACAAGGGGGCAAGAGGAGTAGTAGGAGGGAGAATTATGATTGGAATGTAAGATGAAATACAAACAAACAAACAAACAAACAAATAGAATTCTGGGGCCACAAAGTCAGCAAATCCATGTGCCATTGAATCAAATAGACTTGAAACAAATAGACCACAGCAGTCCCTTTGAAAGCCTTATATTCTTTAGAAAGTTGTGCATATCTATGGCATAAGGTAATAATTCCTTCCTTACATCCTATATTCTACTCAAGTCTTTTCTGTGTGTCTTGAAGTGAGTTCCACCTCCCTTTCCAGAGTCCCCCTTAGGCTTGGACTCACTGGTCAGCACCATAGTTGATGTTAACTAATAGCACCATAATTTAGGCTCTGGCAGTGTCATTTCAGGATACACTTTTCACTGCTGTCTTCCTCAAACTGCTCTCTTGTGTCCTCTCCTCACCCTCTTCTTCATTCTATTCCTTCTCCCACACAGGCAGGCAGTTAGTAAGTATTCTATTAATAGTGACATAGCTGTCAGGTTCCATAGGTCTCAAAACATCTCCTCTTCTGGCATCTTAACACGCCCTAAGTGAAAACAAAATGATCTTAGGAGAAAGCCCTTTGTGGGTGTTACTGTAGGTGCTTCGAGCCCAGTGGAGCATTGCTGATGAAGCATACCCTCTCCCTGCCATATGATGGGGAAACTTATTGGGACCTCAGCCATAGACTGGTTGGAGCTCTGGTGCTGCCACCTCTTTGGGAGTGGTTCCAAGGTCCCCTAGGAAATCTGTGCTCACACTTTATGCTGATCAGCACTGAGGTAATGCCTCTGGTTGTCACACTTGTGTTTGACCCTTCATCCCTGCCCTCGCTGTACCTTTGAAGTTGCTCAGGGCTAACTCTTGACTATAAAGGAAATAGCTGTCCAAGTATCAGAAATCTGGGAAGAAATGAGGAGGGCAGACAGAGCACTCACTGTGTTCAACTGTGTTCAATGTTCAACAACCAGATCCAGGTGCTTTCCTGGACTGAAGAACAAAGGACAACACACCTGCCAAATCCTAGAGCTCTGGAAACAGCTTATGTTTTCCTTTCCTATTTTGTGGTCTGCTTCAGCCACCTCAAATTGCTATTGGTGACAGCATAACACTTGCCTAAAGTACTGTGTAAATTAGCGTCCTAAGAATAAACCTGTATTTTCTACACTTAGATTCTCATTTCTCATTCAAAGGCTCCATGAAGAGTCTTCTAGAATCTCCACTAAGAGGATTAAATCTCCTGGGCTCAAAGTAGGAAGCTTTCCATGTGGGGATAGACTGCCCCAAACATTGAACTTCTCTGATCTACTGGGTCTCACCCTCTGTAGCTTGGGAATTGTCTCTCCCACACCAGTTCCAATATATAGCAAAGCCATGAGAATTACAACCCAATTGCCTGATTT